TGGTCTTCACTGCCATTTGCATTTATGAAGGCCATGGACTGCTCAAGATGGAATGAGAACACCTCCCCACACAAACAGGACTTGGCATTAACCTTGGGCTTAAAAAATTTCTGAACCTATAGATGGAGATATGAATATGGCTTTTAGTATTGATCAAATCGGATGGTCAGGAATGAAACTAGTTTACTTGGGCAAAGATATATAAACACTTAATCCAACATTGGACTATATTGGCCATGCCCAATTGAGCATAGCCGCTTTAATCAAATAATATTCATAAAATAAAAATTACAATTCTTCAATTTAATTTTGCCCCAGTAAAGATGTGGGCTACAAACGCCAAAGCATCATCATATTATGTCGAAGAGATAATAGATTATGATGCACACCCCATCCAAAGGAAAAGCAGCACAACCCCGTTACAAGTGATCTGAATCTGCTGCTCTTGCTAATCAGATTCAGAAAACTCATATTAATTAAATACTATATTGTAATGTAAAAAGAAACTTTGGCCTGCCTCTGCTGCCCTTGCTGATCAGACAGTTCAAAGCTGAAAACTTATAAGAACATGGCATGATCCCCTTTGAATGCACCTGCCAATCAACAGGGATTGCTTAAAAGTTGAAGAAACAGGCACGAACGACCATGGCTGCTGCCCTTGCTAATCAGCCTAATCCTCTGCAACACTGATCAACAACATTAAGTTGAAACAGATTGAATACGTATGTATTTTTAAAATGCATTGGATTTCCAGCGCCCCATGGTTCGGATCTGCGCATCAGACATCCCCTTATCAGCAGCATGAGAAGCAACTCCGATGCGGAAGCTATGTCCTTTATACTTAGAGGGATCAAGACTACAATACCGCAGAGCTATCGCCAACTTATCGGTAAAAAAGGATCTAGGAACCRGGTTGCCATCAGGCATGACAAAAAGAGCACCCCCACTGTAGCCTCTTAGTGCAAGGTTTTCTAGTAAGTGCTCAACCGGACAAAAGGAAAGTTGTCGAGAAACCACAAGTGAGAAAGGTCGCTGATTGTAATTGTGTTTGTAATTAACAAACTGTACCTTGAGTGCCTCAACTTGGTTCTTATTATTGAAAAGCTGAGTGACATGATGTAACTGTATAGTGTTACCAGAAGGAGAATCTGTTATTTACCCCACTCTCGAAAATGTAAAAAAGGCAAACAAGCACATGGCCTTAAATAGGCTTTTGTGAAATTGCGAACAAGTTATCTGCGAGGCTGCTCCAACTATTCTATCCAAAACTGGGACAGTAATTGGCAATCTGCAGTCCAAAGGATGGGAAACCTTACAGTAACCTTTCACATTTGAACTATAAAAAATGTTTTGGTTGCATCCGGAAATCCATACAATCTGTGGCTATACCCTATAGCTGAAACATAAGTGCTGACTGTTGATGCCGCGTATTTGCGATCATACAAATAAGCAATAAAGAGAGCTACAGTAGTAGAACACGAGGACAATACCAGGTAATCAGATATTTGTTTCACTTGATAAGGGATAAAGTTTTTCTTAATTGCACCGGCACTTTAAAATTTCTAAATTAAGTTTTGTTTTTCATATTAGGTAAAGGGGTTCCTGAAATCCGTTTTCGAGATAATTTCCGTTGCCGCTCACTGTTGCCCAGTCAAGTACCATCTGCAGCTGAAGTAGTAGAGGAATACAGACAAAAGGGAGGTCAAATCAATGAAGAATCTTCCTTTGGTATCGACCCACTCCACGGGGATTGCAACGCTAAATATGCTCGTGACCAACAATTCTTTTTGCGCTATAATTCATACGCAACAGATGCGCACGCTATCGCTAATCACCGTGAAGATTTTTTTGAAGAATCTATTTTGCATTTTATTGACGTCACTCTTAACGCAACTTGAAAATATCCAACTGGTTGTTATTTCTTATTGCATAATGTAACAGTATGTTAGTTTATAGTATTCTGTGATTCGTATATTCACATAAATAGTATCAGTTTTGTTCTCGCAGTATGCCCTACAATGGACTACATTTTAAAATCTAACCAATGTTTTACGAAAATTAAGATATTTGCTACGAAAAATAACTCAACTGGCTGCATTGATTTTACATATTTGTTTAAGTCTGGAAAAAATGTACATGCAGAAACAATATACATTAACTCAAAGCTAAACTTAAGTTTGATACTGACTCTTGACTGTGGACGTTTGTATGTACTAAAACAGTAACGCAACTTTTAGATCACTCTCATGCAACCTGGTCACTGCATTTTCTCAATTATTTCATCGAGCCCGCGGAAAGGGATCACTTTGCTAACCCCTTCGGCATTTCTACAAAGGGGACAAGTGTCCTCCTCCTCAAACCACCTATTCATGCATTCAGAGCAACCGACTATTTGCCCACAGCATTGTGCGAACGCAATTTCCTTCTTTGAGATTCTCTGGCATATTTTACATGTTAGCGTTGTTTTTAGTGACTGCAATAGATCACTCTGATCCCTATTTGTATCATTAGATAACAATGACTTAATATCACAGAGATCTTTCTGAATACTACTCTGACTTTCTTTCACTCCTTCATCRAAATGAAATTCAAAATCCAAAAACTTTGCTTCTATCAAACTGTTTGTCTTCGATATGGAGGTCATTAGATCTTTGCACTTCTCATCAACTCCTGTTGTTGCTTCAAGAACATTCTGTACGGTCTCTTCCATTTCTTCACTTGTTAAAGTGGAAGACCTAGTTGTTAAAATAAATCAGAGAGACGACTTAAAATTATATATCTAAATTCACTTATATTTTGTTGTTTTAATCAAGTNATAA